AGCGCTTCTCTCTCATTAGCGCTCCAGTTAGCGTAAGGTTTTTAGCCTTCGAGAGCTCACTATGGCCATCGAGGACTACGAAGCATCCCGTGGCTGGCTTAAAAGTTCATTGCATGTCAGGAAGTATTTGTTATTGTTAGATTCAGACGAGGATGGACGTTGCATTGCTAAAATGGCTACAAAACGGACCTTTTGATGTCAAGCAGCTAAGACAAGAAGAGCTCTGATGCTGGAAGAGAGGGTAAAAGTGATCAAAATGAAAGACGGAGCAAGCAAAATAAAATACATTTTCCAAGAAATTGATGTAAGTGAAAGTGAATGCTGATCGTAAATTTCGCAATTTCTTTCCCTTTTTTTCTTTCTACACTGACAATATGAAGTGTCAAATAAGTGTGTGCTCATACTTATGTACTATTGGAATAAAAATAGAGTACACAAACGTTTGTGTGTGCGTGTACACATACGTTTGTGTGTGTGGGTGTGTGTGTGCTTACATCTGAGATCAAATTTGCTACAGTGAAAAACCCCCTGTTGTGAAAAATTTCTTGCTGCAAACATGATTTCGTTGAAGAGGAGTTTCACTGTATTCCTTTTTGCATTTTTTTCCCCCGTAGAAGCTATCATCAGCTATTAGCTGAAAAACGCACTAAAATAATTGGTGTTTTTTCTGCACTGTCTAAAACGTTCTAACAAGTGGAAGCCAAATCCCTCTCTCAATAGCAAAGTATTCCAGTTGGGTGTGAAATCCACTGATGTGATCAATTTCGAAGAGGAGTTTCACTGTATTCCTTTTTGCATTTTTTTCCCCCGTAGAAGCTATCATCAGCTATTAGCTGAAAAACGCACTAAAATAATTGGTGTTTTTTCTGCACTGTCTAAAACGTTCTAACAAGTGGAAGCCAAATCCCTCTCTCAATAGCAAAGTATTCCAGTTGGGTGTGAAATCCACTGATGTGATCAATTTCGACAGCAGGGAGCACCTGTATCAGACTCACTCAGCTCTGTACTGACAACATATTGGACACTGAACATCATGAAACTTATTCCAGACCTTCAGACCGCACAGTAACTACTTCTAATTGATTTCATTGGACTCGTACGGATTTTATCTTGTCATTTCAATTGTATTACTCTTAAGAGTATTTCTGCACTCTGCTTTTCCTTTTCTTGTTTTCGTTGTGGACACTGACGGAACTGCAAAATTTCCTTGTGGATGATACAATACTTCTATATTTATATGACGCTTTCACAACAGCTGCAGCTGTAACGAAGCGCTTTACAGTAAAATTAACATAAAATAACAATAATACAACAGAACAAACAACATAATAACATCGACAATAACACGATAATAATTGTGTTACAGTATATAAGTGGACTATACTAGCACGGTTGTAATGTAGACCCTCACGATGAATCCCGCCGAGCCTCATCCAAATACTACATCGTCTGGCATTCGTCCACCAATCTATTTCGTAATACTTTATTAATACTTTCAAGCGTGTCTTCGAATCCCGGGAAGGAGACAGTGAGATTTTTCTTTGGACGCAATCCCAACCTGAGCTTGGTCGGCTCGTGTAAAATGATTATGAGAAGAAAAATAGAACAAACCTGCCTTGTGTGCTTCATCTTGCTTCTTGAAAACAGCGACCAGTGTTTGACGTTGTCGCTCATTCTCCTCTTCAAGGCTCTCTTCTGCTCGACCAAGTCCCTCCTCGTACTCTGCTGACACTCTTGTGCACATTTACCCCTTCTTAGTTTACGATTACACTTGATCTCTGCTTGGCGACGCGTGGCTGACGAAGGCGTCTATTTTTCGCATCTATCAACAAAAAATTAGCAGCCACATCAGAACGGACCGACACGAAGAGCAAATTATGTTTAATTAATTAGAGGAGATAAATATAAACGGATTAGGCATCAACAAATAATAAAGGCGATATACTGATTTAATTAATTGTTCTGTCGCATTATTTTCCTTAACTCATTTTCCATATCCGGTAGAAAAGACATACTGAGTACAGGGTAGTGAGTTACTGCCTCCTTTGGTGTGGATGTGTCATTTCACGCTAAATCTTCTGGTACAGTCGTCCCACCTCCAGGAAATGGAGGACATCACCGGCTCTCTCGCATTATTGTTTCAATGTACAGTGTAATGTTTCATTGTGCTAATTTCCTTTAATAATTTCTTCGCTTTTTTTCCCCCGTGGAAGTTAAAAGATGTAATGACACATTCCGACCCGAAGGAAGCGGTAATGCGTCAATATGATGCAATCGCCGTTTTTTTACTCTCCCGGAAGTAAAACAGAAAAGAAAACACATTGCCGAGACAGTCTGGATGAGTCCTCGTCCTTGCGTTGATTACAGCATCTTTTCCTGTTTATGTAGTTAACATTCCGTTTATATAACATAGCAAACACAAGTAGCTATTAATATTCTGATAAACTTGTCTTGGTGCACCTTAAAGCTTCGTAAACTATCTTAGCTTGCTAGCTGCAAAGTTAGCAACATATCGTTCAGCAGCGCACGAGTGTGAGTGTAAAGTGTTATGAGGCGAAAGGTTTCTCCCCAGTGTGCGTTCTCATGTGCCTCGCCAATCCTGCAGGATGACCAAAGCTTTTGTCGCACACTGAGCAGGTGAAAGGTTTCTCACCGGTGTGCGTTCTCATGTGGTGAATCAACGTTGAACGAACATTAAAACTTGTGCTGCAGATGGTGCAGAAAAATGATTTTTCTCCAGTATGTGTTCTTGCGTGTGTTTGCATTGCCACCTTCTGAGAGAATGTTTTACTGCAGATTGAACACGAAAAGGGTTTCTCACCGGTGTGTGTTCTCATGTGTTTCGCTAGTGTTGAATAATCACTAAAACATTTGTTGCACACCGAACAGCAAAAAGGTTTTTCTCCAGTGTGTTTTCTTGTATGTGTTATCATAGATCCCTTCTGAAAGAATCGTTTCCCACAAACGGAACACATAAAAGGTTTTTCTCCCGTATGAATTACCATGTGTCTTCTGAGGTTCCTCTTGTTGGTGAAAGTTTTGTTACACTGAGGACATGTGAAGTGTGTTTTGTCACTGCGACATGTCAGATCGCCTTTAGAGTGTTGTTCATCATCAGGAACAGCAGAGTGTGATGTTATTCTGCCATCACAATCTAAGAGCGTAACGAAGCGGCCTACTTGGGATCCTCCGCAGTGGTTTCCATCGCCTTCATCATCATCAACATCATCTTCACACTTCACATGAATAACAGTGAATGGAAACTTGGCGATGGCACCGTCCTCCACACCTTGAAGCTGCTCTTCCTCCTGAGTGATGCTGTGTTCATCCTCTTCCTCTTTAATCCCTGGGGCCTCAAGATCCTTCTCTTCGTCTTTCATATAGGGGGGCTTAGGTTCTACCTGTTTCGCCCTGGAGCTCAATGCCCGCTGCTCAGGTTGACGATCTTCCCTGATGTCTGCAGGACATAAGATAACAAACATACATGGTTTGAAAAGTCAAATTTTGCAGGACCTTGCAGGAGGACACACAGAAGCTTCCGCATGGTTCTTCTACCATAGCACACCTGGAGCGGCAATGCAGAGAATTGATAGGGTGAAAGTGGACATGAGCCTGACAAAAGAGTAATACCGGCACAGTCATGGTTTACAGCTAACAAATACAGTGAAACTCCTCTAGAACGAAACCTGCATGGGCGAAAATACCCCCTTATGTGAAAAAATCTTCATGCATTAACACAATTCCCATTCTCCTGCCCCCCATACGACGAAAAACCCCCTGTTGCGTTATACGAAATCATTTTGTCTGCTCCAGCCTCGCGAAGACATTCACTACAACGAAGTCTTATCCAACAGCGACCTCTACTGCTTCGTTCGAAAAAAGGCAACAGCAACCACCACACTGGTTTACATAGTGAACGATGTTTATTTCGGTCACAGCTGCGAGTTTCCTGGGCTCAACATACTCATAGCTGCTCTGCTATTGGCTTACCGAGCATCATCCTGGCCTCCGATTGGCCAAGAGGCCACATAGACCTCACTGTCTATGTGTGTAGATACTGAAGCTAGATCCGTAGCATCCGATTAGCTGCTCAGAGTAAATTGCT